ACATGCTACTTGGTCTCTTCTTTTTTTCCCTGTGAACTGTTTACAAACCACTGTTCTTGGAGCATATCTTCCTAGCCATAAATAAAAGACTATGGTTATCAGGGTTGTGAAACACTGGGACACCAGCTGTCTTAGTCTTCTATGTCTGCATGGTACTCAACTTTGTTGTGCATAGGAATGCACCCAGGAGCATTAAAAATATCCACAAATCCATTCATGCCCCAGGCTTACCAGATCAGCAGCTCTAGGATAGGGTGGAGGTGCCAGGTATGTGTAAAGTTCCCAGGTGATGCTGAGTTGGAGACCAATGTACCTAGCATTACATGGAGGGTGGGCGCTCTATCCCCATTAACCAAACAAGGCCATTCTTTAATATTTTGTTGCCTCAGGTTCATAAGACTCAATTTGGTATAATTTATGAATGTATCTTCTGTCACAGAAACTGTGAAACCAGTTACTTCTCTTTGTTATCTTTTTATATTTTAAGATATATATTTGAGATATAATTCACATACCACTTGACTTACCCATGTTAAGTATTCATACCATTCATTGGTTTTTAGTTTCTACACAGAATTGTACCAATGTCACTAACAAGAGAAGCCTGTATACAGGGCCCTCCCTGTTGGTGCAGTGGGTTAAAGCACAGCACTATGTATGAATCTATTGACAGCCACTGCAGCATGAGCTCGATCCCCGACCAGGGATGTGACCCATATGACACAGCAGACCTCTCCTGTCTCACCTGTTGCTCCCCTCAGTAGTGTATTTCATTCATTCTCCCTGTTCTGCACCCCACTCTGTCTCTGGTGAATCCTCTCACCCCACCACCACGCCTCTGGACTGTACCCCAGTTCTTGTATGCATAATTTAAAAAAAAATCTTAACAAAAAAGTCTGTATACTTTAGCTATTCACATTCCAGTCTCTCCCATTCTCTCAGCTCTAAGCAATCCCTAATCTGCTTTCTATTATTCAATCTTAAAAATTGGATAAAATACCAAGACTTCTTTTAGGGTGGGCTCCACAGGGTGATGAAATTAAGTGACTAATTGAGCAGAGCAAAAAAGCTTTCCTGGAGAAGGTGGCATTTGTGTTGAGCTGATTCTGCTTTTGCATCTTTATTCCCTCTATGCCACTAGTTTGGAATTTCCTCTCACCCCACCCTTTTTGTATAATTCTACATTTGAGGACTCCCCTATCTGGCTTTGCTCACCATTCCTTCTGCACACCCTCCATACACATGTGCATACCATGTGCTTTCCCTGTTAGTACCAATACCTGCTGTCTCCTCTCTGCCCTAATGGCATCCCTTCCCACAGTAGGACAGGACTTTGAAGCTCTTAAACATCACCCTCCAAGTCCCGTCTGGGGTTAAGCAAATCCCTTTCCCCAGCAAACAAGTATTATCTGTACAAGGAAGGGAGCCCAATACAATACACCAAAATACAACCTCCCTTTTTTAATGGTCAAAGGAATTGACTGGATACCACTACAAATGTTACAGTGCAGGGAGGGGGCCCCCCAGAGCCCCCACACCTGCCCACTCTAAATAGGTTCTGCCATCTGCCACATCAAGACAAAACATATAGACCTTTAATGGAAAGGAACTTTAATACAATTAGTGTGAATACAGAAAAGACAAAGGATATAGTTTCCAAATCAAGCACCTGAAGTTACCCATCCCCCCTTGAGTAAAAGTCCAGCCCAATAAGATTGGCCCAAAGCAAGGCCTGAAAGCCTGCCATAATTCTAAAGCACTTTCCTGTGGGGACCCATAGAAAAGGGCCAAAAGCAACCAGACAAGTCTGAGAGGAAAAGAGCAAAATCAAGATCAAAGCTACCATAGTGAACCTCCCCATGGGTCTTTCACCCACATCTGTTTCACTCAGCCCAGGACTGAGAAGCCAGCGCAGTTTCTTCACATGTCTCTCATCTCCACGTGCCTCCCTCAGCTCTCCTTCCTTCCTCCTCAGACTTCTCTCCTGCTCAGCTCCACTCTCCTTTGGGTGGTGCAGGGAACCTGGAACCTCCCCCTTTCCTGGGGACCACCCTGTTATGCACCGGAAACTGACCCTGTGTCTTCCTCACTCCTACTCTCCCTTCCCGAGAATCTCTGCTCGCCAGCCAATGCAGTTTCCCACCTTCAAAGACCCTGCTCTTCCATTTGCTGTGGCTGGACCGCAGCACTGGGGACCACCCTGTTACACAAAGAAGATACACAATGGCTAATAAGCATATTAAGTCACCTCTCCAGCAGCAGCTTTGGGGAAAATCACAGCAAAATTACCCAAAGCCCCCAGGGAGAAGCCTAGGAAGCTACACCGAACAGGGGCAGCCTGATCCAAAGGCAGCTTGGATGTAATAGGCTGGAGTGACCAGGGGCTCCCAGTTCCCACTAGTCAAAGCACTGTCTCTATTCTAATACCTGCCTGCCGTTTTCAGCAGATACTGGCTTACCAGTAGCTCATCCAGGACTTATTTGCCCTTGGTGAAGGGCCCCCTACCTGACTCTATCTTTAGCCTGCTCAGCAGGAACTCTGGATACCAAGACAATAGCCCCAGAAATAAGGAGGGCCTTCCCGCACACTGGAAGAGGTGCTCAACGTTGCTAGTCATTAGGGGAATGTGAGTCAGAGAACCATCAGTTTCCGCCTCATGCCCTTCAGCATGTTGCTCACCCAAATAAAGAAAATGGTAAGTGTTGAGGATGCAGAGAAATTGGAAACCTTGAGCTTGGTTGGTGGAATGTAGTGACACAGCTGGTATGGAAAACGCTACGGAAGGTCCTCAAAAAATTAAATGTAATTTTATACTTTGATCCAGCAATTAATTCCACTTCTGAGTATATACACAAAAGAATGAAACCAGGAACCTGATCAGATACTTATACATTTTTATTCTTTTTATTTAAGATTGATATATTTATATATATAAGAACTGGGGTACAGGCCAGAGGAACAGGAGGATGAGGATTCATAGGTGACAGAGTGGGGAGCAGACCAGGCAGATCTACTGTGAGGGGAACAGCAGCAGGTCAGGAGAGGTCTGCCACACCATGTGGGTCACCCCCCCACCACCACCACCAGGGATCAAACCCAGGGATAGCCTCACAGTGCTGTGCTTTAACCCGCTGTGCCACCAGGGAGGCCCCTATACTTATATTTTTAACATTAGTCACAATAGTAAAAAAAGGAGAAATAGGCCAAATATCCACTGATGTATAAATGGATAAACAAGATATTGTCTCTCCATGTGGTGGAATATTATTCAAACTTTGACAGGAAGGAACCCAGAGATGAACCCAGAGGACATAATGCTGAGTGAGACAAGCCAGATATAAAAGACCAAATGATGTAGGAGCTCCCTTTTATTAGGTCTCTGGAAGAAAAAAAAAATCCATAGAAACAGAAAGGAGGATGGTAGGTATGGGGGTTGTGGAAGGGCGAGTGAGTGTTTAATGGGGCCAGAGGTTCAGTTTTGCAAGATGAAGAGTCCTGGAGGTGGGGAGTGGGGATGGTTGTGTAAAAATGCAGATGTGGCCTCCCTGGTGGTGCAACGAATTAGGACACAGCACTGCAAACCAGCAGTAGCCACTTCAGTGCAAGTACCATGCCCGGCCCCAGAGTTGATCCACATGGCGTGGCAGACCTCTCCCGTCTCTTGCTGCTCCCCTCAGCAGTGTACTTCATTGATCTGCCTGTTCTGCTCCCCACTCTGTGTCTGATGAATCTTCTCACGGTCCCTGTGCTTCTGGCCTGTACCCCAGTTCTGTGTGCATAAATAAATAATCTTTTAAAAATGCAGATATGTGTAATGAATTGAGTTGTGTACTTAAAAGTGATTAAAGTAGTAAATTTTATGTGTGCTTTACCCCAATAAAAAGTATTTTAAGATAGGATGAAGGGAAGAGAGGGAGAAGAGAACTGCCTCCAGGAATCATCCTAAGGGGGGCAGCAACTTCAAAGGTTTCCAGTTGCCTGTAGCCATCTCTGCAAGTCTGTCTCCTCGTGGAGATAGGATAAGAGACCACAGACTGTGGCGATGATGAGGATCCATGAGCTTTTCCTACAAATGCTAGACATGACACCTGAGGCCTAGGAGTGCTTGCTTCCTAAGTGTGAGTTGGCATTACCATCACATTCACTTCTCTGAGCACAGGGAAACCCGAGCCAGCGCTGCTTTGTCTCAGTGTGACCCGGGACAGGTGTGCAACCTCTCTGAGTCTTGTTGTTATAGGGCAGCAAATCTGTTAGAGGACAGGGGGAGAGGGGCACCCCTGAAGCTCCAAAAACCTGCCTGCTCTAAGTGGGTTTTGCCATCCAACAAGACAAAACATATAACACTTTAATGAAAAGGGACTTTAATACAGTAAATATACAATACCAAACACAAAGAATATAACTTCTAAATCAAACACCTGAAGTTACCCATCCCCTCGTGGGCAAAAGTCCACCCAAAAGGGGTTGGCCCAAAGCAAGGCCTGAAAGCCGCTATAGGACTAAATAACCTTCTGGCCGGGACCCATGGAAAAGGGTCAGAAATGGCCAGACAAATCTGAGAGCAAAAGAGCAAAATCAAAATCAATATAAGCACTGCCATAGTCACCTCCCTACAGGGATCTCACCCACATCTGCCTTAACCAGTCCAGGGTCAGGAAACGAGCACGGCTTCTTCCTCACAGGCTTGCTGCTCCATGTGGCTTCCTCAGGTCTCCACCTTGTTCTCCATCCAGCTTCCTTCTCTTCTTCTCCCTTCTCTTCTCTCCTTTTTCTCTGCTCAGCTCCACCCTCCTTTGGGTGGGGCAGGGAACCTGGAACTTCTCTTTTTCCTAGGGACCACCCTGTTACATTGCTACTTGCTGTGAAAGGGATGAGCCGCAGGGTGTTGGGCAGGTGTCTGCAGAAGCAGTCCAATTGGGGTGGGCTGACAGGAAGGCAGGGGAACCAAGCCTGCGCTCGGCACCCTGGTGAAGGTCAGGGACTCCACTTTGCCTCCTAGGAGCCGTCGAGCTGTCCCAGCGCCACCCCATGGCATCCTGGCTGTGTGCCATGCTGCACTGCTTTGGGAGTTACATCCTGGCTGACTTGCTCCTGGGAGAGCCCCTGATTGACTACTTCAGCAACAATGCTAGTGTCCTGCTGGCCTCAGCTGTCTGGTAAGCCTCTCTGGGTAGGGCGACGTGGCCTACAGAGAAGTGAGATGTTGGAGGAGCAAAGATTCGTCAGTGCAGCCTCCACAGTGGCCCTGAATTTCCTGCTGCCCAAACCCAGTTCTCTTCTGAGCCTAGTACCTTGGGGGTGGGAGGGCCTGGACACAACCGCACCTCCTGCTGGGGCCTCCCACACTTGCTAATGCTGGCATTCTCTCTCCAAAGGTACTTGATTTTCTTCTGCCCCCTGGACCTCTTTTACAAGTGTGTCTGCTTCCTGCCTGTGAAGCTTATCTTTGTGGCCATGAAGGAGGTGGTGAGGGTCCGCAAGATTGCGGTGGGCATCCACCATGCACATCACCATTATCACCACGGGTGGTTTGTCATGATTGCCACTGGCTGGGTCAAAGGTAAACACGCCCCTGACAATGTGGGAAATGACCCTAGTGGAGAGCTCCTGCATAGGGGTGAATACATTGGGCCCCCAGTTGGCACAACCATTGCTGTAAGTGAAGAGGTGCCAGGACTACCCTGGGAGCCCAGCCTTCCCATGAGTCCACACCTTTAGGTCTTCCCACCAGGGAGGTCCAGCCTACCCACTAAGAGAAATAAGATTCTTCCAGAAATGTCATTGTCAAAAGCAAATAGGAAATGTTGAAATAACGATGGCTAATGCCTCGGGGGCAGGGTTTCTTTCTGTGGCTCTGGTGCGGTTTCGGGCCAGACCACTCTCTGCAGTTAGTGGAGCCATTCTGTGCACTGTGCCAGGCTGAGCAGCACCCACCAGGAGCCTGCAGCGCTGCTCATGCGGCTCCAGAGGCCCTTGAACTTTGTGGGCCATGGCCCTTTTATCAAGCAGTAAAGTCTAAAGACTTATGTTTAAGCACCTAAAATAAAATATGGAGGATAGCAGAGAAAGCCCATAACAGGCACACCTTGTTTTATTGTACTTGCTTTATTGTGCTTCACAGATGCTGTCTTTTTTTTTTTTTTACAACACCCCTCCACCAGCAAAAAGATTACACTCAGAGAAGACTCAGAGGATTGTAAACATTTTTTAGCAATGAGGTATTTTTAAATTAAGGTGTGTACACAGGTATTTTAGACATAATGCACACTTTGTAGACTATAGTATCGTGTAAATATAACTTTCATATGCAGTGGGGAACCAAAAAGTTCGTGTGACTTGCTGCATTGCAACATTTACTTTATTGCAGTGGTCAGGAACTGCAGTATCTGTGAGGTGTGCCTGTATTTTAAAATGGTTGTTAAGGTTGTTTTCAAATAGGATGTAGTCATTTTCTGCATCTCCAAAGCATTCACTACCAAGCTTTTCACTAGCTCCTAGAACTTTAAAGTTTCTGAGGTGCTATTGAGCACAAATGGCATTATGCAAACCACATGCAAGAACAAGAAAGTGAAAAGAAAAAATTCCAGTAATTTTGTTCATGTTGAAGGCATGCAAATCCTATTGAAGTAATTGCCTCCCTTCATGATGGAAGGAAAGGCAGGGCATCAGTGAGGGGTGTGCAAGTGAAGGCGCATTCTGTTTCCTTTCTGGGTTCATGCACTTCGATTTTATCCCCTAGCTCAGGGAAAGTTTTGCATTGAGGCCTTGGTGCATCATATCTGATTCGATCCTTGGGACTATCCTTTAAGAGAAATCCCAGCACTGTCACTTTTTAGCAACGAGGAAAATGAAATAACTAAGGTCATGCACTTGAGAGCAGCTGGGTTTGACTGCAGGTGTGTCTTAATTACTTCCAGGGCTTCCTCTTCTCCCTCTAGCTATACAAAGAGGCAGTCCAAGATAGACTTTAAAACAAAAGTTACAAGCAAAAAACAGGCATTTGTATCTTGGTGAAAGGGCCAATTCACTGGGGAGATTTAACAATTATAAATACATATGTGTGCCAAGACAGAGCACCAAATGCATCAGACACAAACTGAAATTACAGAGAAAATAGATAGTTCAACAATAATAGCTATAGAGCAGACCACGGAGTAATAGCAAGGCTGAGAAACAGTCTGAGTGGGTATTAAAAACGACTGGATTATCCAAATTTTCTTACACCAAACTGGATGCCCCCAAATGCCTGGCCTCAGCTACTGGTAACACTCTTCCTTCCCAGCTGTGACAACCAAATAGTGCCTCCAGGTGTTGCAAATGCCTCCTTTTTCAAGAACAAAAATCACCCTAAATGCAAACCTGATACAGGGGTCGTATCAGGCACCCAGTTTGCTCCTAGAGAGAGCACCCAAGCCTCTTGAGTCCATGTATTTGGGATAAATGGGGGAATTTTTCCAGAAATATAACCCCCATCTCCAGAAGAATCTCCTGATTCTCTCTCTGGGAAAGCTGCCTACAGAGCAAATTCCCCTGGCTTTAGCATGCCATGGGGTATAGCATGCCTCCCAGATGGCAGATGGCTCTTCTGAGAGCTCAGAACCCTGAAGAAGACAGGTTGGGTTGTGGTAGGTGCTCCACAGCACGGGGTCATGGATTGGGGGCACAAGAGCAGACAACCCAGATTTGCCCGAGACATGCCTTGTAGTTAAAGTCTGACCGCAGTTCCTTCATGCTGGTTTTGCTCCAGATGTGCTGTGTAACGCTGAGCCATAGTGTCCCCGCTTATCACTGCTAGTTGCCAGGTGTCCCTCTGTGGAAGACCTCGGGAGTGGAACTGATGCTTTCTTGGGAATTGAGCCAAGAATGGTGGGGAGTGGCTGGCTGGCTTGCTCAGAAGCACCCTGTCCCACAGGCTCCGGCGTTGCCCTCATGTCCAACTTTGAGCAGCTGCTCCGAGGGGTGTGGAAGCCAGAGGTCAATGAGATCCTGCACATGTCCTTGTGAGTACCCCTCCCTCCCTACATCCTCCTGTATGTACGGGTGCCCTCTGGGCCAGACCCTGGGTTGGATATTCCTGATAACTTGAGGACTCAGCCTCTGACTTGGCACCCGGAAGCTGCCAGAGGCCATTTTTGGCAGACTCCAGAGGGGTGACCGTGGCTCTGCATAGGGGGGTGGGGGAAGCAGAGTCCCAGGGAGATGAGATACTTGATTTGGGTCTTGAAAGTTGTGTGGGAGTTTGCCAACAGCAAAGCCTCTGGACAGAGCCAACATCTCTTCCAACTGTCAATTCAGGAAAGAGCAGTGATTCTGCTTAGATCTGCACAGGTTAGGAATAAGGGGCACAGGGCCTGGGCACAGAATGTGGGTGAGGACGGTGACTGGGGCTATCTGGGCAGGGCTCCACGCTGCATCCAGCTTAATTTTCTCCCAATCTATAGCAAGTAAAGCTAGATACAATATAAACACTAAAATATAAACAAGTTCAAAGGGTCACTCATGCCAGTGAAAATTTGCTCCAGTTTTAAACTTTGGAAAGCTCAGTGTTATCTTGTTTCATTCCCATGAAAAGTCTGTTCCCACCTTCATTTCACCAACAGGGAAACCCAGACAGTTGCATCCTGCTAAGCAGAATTCAGTTCCACTCCCAGATTCTGTTTTCACATGATTAGCTGAGGGTGGGAAGGGTTCCATGGAGTCTTACACATAAGCCCTTTGGTCCTGGACCCTGGGAGTGCTTTGAAAATATCAGGTAGAATTACCATGGCTAACTGTATTCAATGAGCAATGGGCATTGGGAACAGAAGACATGGGTCTGTCTCTTGCAGCAAGTTAAAATCATGGAGTCCTGTTCTGCAAAGGAGAAAAGGAAAGCTAAGAAAAACTGTATTGACCCATGCACTGGAGGAGTTTTAGGAGTCTGTCCCCAAGACTATCTTCAAGGTTCAGTGATTTTCTAGAAGGACTCACTGAACTTGGCAAAGCTGTTATACTAACAACTATAGTTTATTACAAGAAAAAGATATAGATTAGAATCGGCAAAGCGGGAAAAGTTTGTGAGGTGGGGGTTCAGGAAATACCAGGTGTGAGCTCCCAGGTGCCGCTGCCAGTGCAGCTTTGTGGACAAAGCCTGTGTCTTCAATATCCATGTGACAGGATGCACTGCATGGCGTCCAGCATTCAAGCTCCTCTGAGCCCTGGTGTCCAGAGTGTTTATTGGGGCTTGGTCACTCCGACAGAGCTAACCTGCATGGCTGACCCCTGACTGCAGTTCCCCTAGAAGTTTAGCTGATGCCTTGTGGCCCCAGAGCCCTATTGTAAACCACACTGTTACTGTCTGCTGTGACTCAAAGCCCACAGGCCAATAGAGACACTCCTATAAGGCAGGACATCAAGATAGGCCACCTCCCAAGAGCTGGTGACAAAAGTCAGGTCAACCCTTTCCCTCACGGGTTCCTCTCCACCCCCCTACCCGCCGGTCCCCCATGCCTAGTGGACATCTTCCCAGCTCATCCTCAGGAAGAGCTGGGTCAGGAACTTTGGTCAGTCAGGGGTGGGTGGAGACAGAGGTCTGGCAGAGGTACAGAGGCCTGCCAAGGTGACCACAGCTGTCCCCTCCAGCCCCACCAAGGCTAGCTTGTACGGCGCCACACTCTTCACTCTCCAGCAGACCCGCTGGCTCCCGGTATCCAAGGCCAGCCTCATCTTCATCTTCACCATGTTCATGGTGTCCTGCAAGGTAAGTTTTCATGTCCTGACCAGAGCTGATCTGCACCTCCCAACCTGGGGACAGGGAGTGGGATTCAGATCCTGTGTGTTCAGGAAAGAATGGCCTTGTGGCGGAGCGGTTGGAGAGTTTGCTGTCAGGCCCACGCATAGGAGGGTCAAGAGGATGTGTCCAGCAGGTGGGCTTGTGGCTCCCATGAGCAGGGTTCAGTCTGCAAAGATGGAGAAGGGGCTGGAGTGTGCGGTCTATCTGGGGATCAGGACCTCATGCCCTGGTCGAAGAGAGCAGAGAGATAAGACACAGGGATGGCACCCTTGGGACTCAGCACTCAGGCTAGTCCAGGGAGAGTGTTGGTTCATGGTCAGGCCTTGAGTTGGCCTCATCCCACCCAGGAAGGGACTTCAGGGGCACCCTCTCCTCCCTTCTTGTGGAGCTGGGGAGCTCTGCTGTTGGCCCCCTGGAAAGGGGCCATGGGCCATCAAAAGGGAGTGAACCTTCAACCCAAGCCCAGCTCCTCTCTATATGCAGCTTTGTCTGGGTTTCAGCATCAAAAGTGCTGTGCCACAGGTAACCCGGGCAGTTAGTCTCCCTCCCCAGGTGCACGCAGTCAGAGGGCTTAGCCAGGGCTGGCGCTGGGCTGCCTCTGACCTTGATTTCACTAACCTTATCCCTCTCTCTGTCTTCTGCCTCGGTCTCCCTCTTGCTGTCTCTCTTCCCCCACCCTCTTGTTACCCCCATGTATCAGGTGTTCCTGACGGCCACTCACTCTCACAGCTCCCCTTTTGATGTTCTGGAGGGCTACATCTGCCCTGTGCTGTTTGGGACAGCCTTGGGGGCTGACCATCACCATGATAATCACGGAACATCCCACGGCAGCTTCCATGGTGGCAGCGGGCCTGGCCCACAGCACTCGGCCCTACCCACCAAGTCCAAGGAGGAGCTGAGCGAAGGCTCCAGGAAGAAGAAGACCAAGAAGGCAGATTAGGGGGTGGCCCAGGGGGCCCCTTGGGTGCCCGGAGAGGACCTGGACCCAGGAACCTCAGAGCCAGGGTGCCAGGAGGCATCCTGGGCTTAGTTCTCCCCTCTCCAGGCCTCAAATTCCCCACCTACAAACTGGGGCCACCCATATACCAAGGGCTGGTATGGAGGGGTTTATCAGTGAGATATGGGTATAAGGGAAGTTAGGAATGGGGGAGTCGCTTCCCCCCACCGGTCCTCCCCTCTCCATTAGACTCAGCTTTTTTGTTTGGGGGGAGGAGCAGAGAAGCACTCCAGCAGCTCCAGCCAACACCCTTGGCAGTTCTGCTCTTGGTTATTTCCTCTTTAAAATTACATCTTGATCCCCAAAGAATTTCAAGCCATGTTGAGATTCATTCATTTGATGGACATTTTCCTAAGTATCTGCTCTGAGGCAGCTGCTGGGATTTCTCCTCTCATCCAGGTTCCTCCAGGACTTACCGTCCTCCCAGGCCCAGAAGGTTCCCCCTCGTCCTGGGTGTACGGGGCAAGTTGCCTCCTCTCAGCCTCATGTCCCCATCTGCACAATGGAGACCCCCCTCCTGGCCTCCCCTGCATGGAAGGGCCTATGTGAGGCTGGACATCAGCAAGCCTTACACACTCACAAGCACTGCACCTTCGGAGGAGGGGCCCTTCAGGATGTTCCATGTGCGTGAGAATGGCTTTGCATTTAGATCCTTTGTGTTAGTGGATCAAGAACCTCATAAAGGCCTTTAGTAGATATATCTAGGCCAGTCACGAGAGCTTGGACATTGGGGAAGGTTTGTTCTAATCCTTGACTTTGGGCTGCCCAGAAAGCAAAGAAATGCTGCTGGCCAGCCAGGGGTTCCACGATTCATCTGCAGAAGCTCTGAGTGCTCCCTAACGGGCCCTAGAAGCACCCCTTGAGATGATGTCCTTCGTCACTAATCATTCATCAACAAACGTTGATGCCTTCCTCTGTGCCAAACCTTGTGCTGCTGTGGGTGGGCCAGGAACTTGCTTCAGGCTGAGAGAGGGGGAGAGTAGCTAAGGACCCCTCACAGCCATCTTCTGAAGCCTAGACCACCAGATTGATGAGCACCACTGGGTGCCGGGGGAATGGTAGGTGCATAGGCATGGCCTGTCTCAGGTGGGGTTTGTGCCCCTACGGGGTGGCCTGGGGGCTGCCCTCTGCCCAGGGGTACTTGGGACTTGGGGTATCAGTCTGCTGTTAAGTCCAGATCGGCACAGGGTTGGTGGGGTCCCAGGTGCTGCCCAGCTTTTTGAAAGTGCCTTGATTGGGAGCTGGGTGGGTCCTGGGGCTACAGGCCCCTGGATTTCTCCTCTTGCATGTCCAGCAAGACTCACTGTTAAGGATCAACAAATAAATGTTGTGAAAGACCCCTGATGGTTTGTCTGATTCGTTCTTGTTCTTTGGGCCTCAGCATACAATGGGAATCTGTGTCCTCAGAGACTCTGGGAGATTCCAGGAAAATGAGGTTTATGCAGCCCTGACTGTGGCAGTGGGAGATGGTGGCAGTGAGTGAGGTCTGTGGACCTGGGGTTAAGCAGATCTGGGTTTGAATTCTCATTGTGCTGACAACAGGTCGTACAAGTCTGTTTGCTTCTTGGAAAAAAAAAAAAGGGGGGTGATGGTCACCCCTACCACTCAGAGACAAGCAGGAAGAATAAGGGGAGGTTGGGCTTGCAGTAGGAGTCTGTGTAAGACCCTGTTAGGACAACGAGTCAAGCCGCAGAGTAGAAAAAAAATCTTTGAAAACTGAGAAAGGAATTACATCCAAGTGGAAAAAGAATTCTCAAAATTCACAAGGAAAACAACCAATTTCAAAATAAGCCCAGGATTCATATGGGTACTTTACCATGTAAAACATGCAGATAGCAAACCACAGGTCCTCAATGTCATCTCATTGGACATCATTTCATTCTATTGTTGATAAGAAAACAAAAAAGAAACAGTTCCTGCCATCTTTGAATGAAACACTATCTGATGACCTAGTTTCATCCTTACACATCATTTTGCTTAAAGTTAGTTTCCAAGAACTATTGAGGGTGATGGTAAGTGCAGACATACTGTATAGCCAGGGTGGTTAAAGATTTCAAACACTAGCCAGCCTACATGACAAAAAAAATGTGTCACAACAGGAACTCTCATATACTGCAGGCAGAAATGTAAAATGGGCAATCTTTTTGGAAAACGGTTTGATAGTATCGTAAAAAGTGAAACATGCACTTTTATGACTAGCTCTCCTACTTTTAGGATTTGCCCAAGAGAAATGCAAATGTGCATCATGATGACAATTACATAAGTGTTCACTGCAGCTTGGTTTGTCCGTCAAAAGATGATGGATGGGGCCCCCTTGGAGGTACAATGGGTAAAGATGTAGCACTGCAAGTTAACTGCAGCTGCTTCAGTGTGAGCTCGATCCCCCACCCTGGAGGTGACCCACATGGCGCAGCAGACCTCTCCTGACCCACCCGCTGCTCCCCTCAGCAGTGTACTTCCTTGATCAGCCTATTCTGCTCCCCGCTCTGCCTCCGGTGAATCCTCTCACTGCCCCTGCACCTCTGGCTTGTACCCCAGTTCTGCATGCATAAATAAATAAATCTTTAAAAAAAAAAAAAAGGTGATGGATGAAGAACTTCCATCCAATTGGATAATGAACATGAATGAGCCTCAAACACATCATGATAGTGAGAAAAGCCATCTAAAGAAGATTGGTACTGCCTGATTCCATTTGCTTGACATCTTAGGTTAGGGAAATTAACCTGTAGGAAAAGAAAGCCAGTCTTTGGGTGCTAGGGAGAGGGAGCTTAGAGTGATGGGCGGGAGGGGTGAGAAAAAGCACAGGGCTGACAGCAATATAATTATAAACTAATGTTATCTCAAAAACTTTTTAGGGCCTCCCTGGTGGTACAAATGGTTAAGTTTTAGCACTATGAAGCCATTGGCAGTCACTGCAGTGAGAGTTAAACCCCTGGACAGGAGGCTGACTCACATGGAGCAGCAGACTTCTCCTGTCTCACCCACTGCTCCCCGTAGCAGTGTACTTTACTCAATCTGCCTATTCCGTCCCCCACTCTGTCTCTGATGAATCCTCTCACTCCTGCTCCCACACCTCTGGCCTACACCCCAGCTCTTGTATGCACAAATAAATAAAGTGTTTTAAATATATATATTTTTTAAAGTTGCATAAGAAGACTTTCGGGTGATGGATGTCGCCATTACCCTGCTATAGTGAGGTTTCACAAGTCCATGCACACAGCTCAAATGATCAAATTGTGGACTTAAAATATGTGGGGTTTATGATTGTATGTCGACTGTACCTCAATAAGGCCATAAACAATTTCAATGAGAAAAAACTAAAATATTGGGCAAAGATTTTGACACTTCACCAGAGAAAATATAGGATGGTGGATAATCACATGAATATACATTAAGACTACAACAAAAAAACCACTATTTCACTAGTGTGGGTTATACTATCCCCCAAGTTTATGTGTTGAAGGCTTAGAAACCTACTACTACAGCATATAGCTGTATTTCAAAATAGGACCTTTTTTAAAAATATATATTTATTTATGCATACAGAACTGGGGTACAGGTGAGAGGTGCAGGGGCTGTGAGAGGATTCACCAGAGACAGAGCAGGGAGCAGAACAGTCGGACTGACAAAGCACACTGCTGAGGGGAGCAGCGGGCAGGTCAGGAGAGGTCTGCGGCGCCATGTGGGTCAACCCCTGGTTGGGGACGGAACTTGTGTTGAAGCAGCTGCTGTGAGCTTCATGACGCTGCAATTTAAATGGTTGCACCACCAGGGAGGGCCTCAAAACAGAACCTTTAAAGGAGTGATTAAATTAAATGAGGTCTCTAGGTGGGGACTCTAATCCTACTATGATTAGTGTCCTTGAAGAAAGTGGAGATGAGGATACAGACAGGAAAAACAAAGACTATGTCGACCCAGAGAGGAGACGGCCAGCAAAAAGGCAAAGGCAGCAGTCTCGGGCATCGACATCTCTGCCAGCAATATTTTCGACTCCCACCCTCCAGAACAGTGAGAAAGTAACTTCCCTTGCTTAAGCTCCCCAGCCTGTGTTATTTTGATATCACAGCCCTAGTAAACCCATACAATAGTCCCTCTTAATCTGGGATTTCAGTTCCCAGGGTTCAGTTACCTGAAGTCAACTGAGTTCCAAAAAAACTGCATACAGTAAGATAATTTGAGAGACCATTTTCACATAACTTATATTACAGTATAATTTTCCACTGTTATTAGCTATTGTCATTAATCTCTCGCTGTGTCTAATTTATAAATTAAGCTTTATCATAGATATATGTCTAGGAAAAATCAGAGTATATACAATCATGATTCATTTAATGATGGAGAAATGCATTATTTCATGTTGTCATCATATGAACATCATAGTGTCATTATACAAACTACAGTGGTACAAGTTTACCACACACCTAGGCAACACAGCATAACGTGTGATCTGTTGTTGACCAGATGGTTTTCTAGCAATGATTGATGGGATACAGCTCAGTATTAGACTCGGTGTCAGCCCACCCCCTGGGGGTCTTGGAACGTATTTCCTGAGGAGGAGGTGGGACTACTTTTTTTTTTTTTTTT